TATACAAATTTATGTGCTCTTCAAAGGAAAATACATTATGTGCTTATTTTTCAATTTTTGGTGTCACGTCACCTCTTATATATATATATATATATATATATATATATAAGAGGTGACGTGACTTCAAAAATTGAAAAATAAGCACATAATGTATTTTCGTTTGAAGAGCACATAAATTTGTATATACAACCAACATATAAACCGTAAGAAAAAGTTATCAAATTTGGCGAGTAAAGTGTCAAGCTTTTCAATCACAATTGTCAAAATTCAGCCACGAAAAAAGTTAAAACACTTATTTTGGGTTTCCTAATTGACTAATACGTATGATTAGCTACATGATACTAATATAATCCAAACCAAAAAAAATTATATCAACTTTTATGGAATTAACCAAATGAAGGGAAAACTCAAAGAAAAGAGCAGGGCATCAGTCTACCTTGTTGCTTTCGTTGTAAAACTTTGACACAAATCAATACCATTTCTCATTTACCACTAAAGAAAATAAAAGAACATGGGCAAAAGAATCAGCAAATTAATGTGTTTGTCTATTTTTCATCTAAAGAACCGTATTGATTGATATAATTAAGTGCTAACGATTATGTAAAGAAACATATTATAAATTTACTGAGATGGTACAAACGTCGGGTGTGAATAAATTTTAACAATAAAATATTTATCATTAAGATAGCTAATATTGGTCTAGAAACTTATCAAATTCGTAAGTTTATGTTAGTGTCTCAGTGAAAACATTCGGATAGTAGGCACAGTAATTAAGTAGAAGTAGATCTTGATATAAAAAGTAACTTAGAAGAGAAAGGGAGAAGGAAGACATTACCAACAAATGATAATAGTGGTTGATCTTTTCCTAGAATAGGACGAGTCTCTCTCACTTTATGGTCGAATCAGCAAGAAAGTGAAGCCAAGTTACCAAAATTTTGAACCTTTGGAGAGGACATATACCGGAAACACAATCCAATATGAAGAGAGCAGAAAGTAAAAGAATATAAGATTTGAAAGAGACATTTCGGGTCAGAAATTTTAGAAGAAATTAACTTCTTGTATTTGATAGATTTTAAAAAAACAAAAAAGCTACCAGGTTTTTTTTTTCTTCTTCTTCTTAATTTACCAACTTAAATGGGAACTTTTGAATTCCGATTCAGATGACCGGTGCTGCAATTCTGACAGTGAGGTAGATGGATTTCCAGAGATTGGAGTCAAAAGAAAAGGGTCGTTAGAACTTAGAAGAAAGAAATATATGAAACAAAACAGAAACAACCTTTTTTTCTTCATAGTAGAGAGAAGAGGATCAGCGTTTTGAATTATCGTAGGGAAGAAGAAAGACCTTGTTAAAAATTATAGGGTTACGACTGGCGGTGAAAAGAAGAAACGTTTGGGTTTTTCTAATAAATTAACCGTGGTTTTTGTCTTAGGTAAATGAGAATAAATTAAAGAAAACTCTAAAAAATTGTGAAAAAAGACAAAGACAATCCCTATGGGTCAATGGCCCTCAATTATATATGTATAGATTTAAGTATTTTGGAAGTGGAACCATATAATTCAATATAATATAATAAAGGAGAAAGTTTCCTTTATTCTTTCCTTTGGGCATTAAACATGCACTTTCCATTGGGCGTGTTGGGTAAGATAAAGGATCAGAAAAGGCAACAATGCGTGCAAAGTGCTTAAGGAATGACTCATTTTAATATTAAGCCAAACAACATCATAATCAACTTGTGATATGGAATTGGTATTATACACTCACCAATTCAATCAAAATGTTTCTCCATCAGAAACCACCAAACAAGCTCCAGCTAACCTTTACATGGGATGTCCTTCTCTTTTTATATTTTTATATGATATGGTGTTCGGGTCAGTTTTCGCACACGATTATGCAGATGAAAAAAAGTTGTTTACATCCTCTGTTTTAATTTATGTGATGATATTTGATTGGACACGAAGTCTAAAAGAGATAGAAAGACTATTGAAATTTGTAGTCTAAAATAAAGCATAAAACTTTTTGCTTATATATCATCACATTAAGAGTAAAATGATTTTGAAGTTAAATTGTATTTAAATTTAAAAAATAATTATTCTTTTTAGGACGGATTAAAACAAAATAAGTTCATACAAATTTAAATTAATACAGCATTTTTTGTATGCTAGTATGTACACGTGCAGAGAGGAGAGGGAGCAGCTTGATATAATCGCAGACGTAAGACAAACGAGAATACAGTAAACAAATCAGTACAGTAAACTTGTAAATCTTGTGGTGTTAGACTTTCCGAACAATGACAAAACTGGCGTTCAATAATTTCAATGATAGGAAATGGCTCTTCTTTGTCTTGTAGCTGGAACACTCTGTCTTTTCTAATGTTTAAGCTTTTAATCCAAAATAAAAAATAAAAAATATCATAACATAATTTGTCAAAACATCGTGGTACATGTACCCGGTTGGTGGCGATTATGTCTTGTGGATCCTTTGGAGCTTCAACTGTCACCAGATTTTCTGAAATTGAGACTAAACGTCATTCTCTAAATTTTCAACTAAATGGCTGCCCGGTTCACTAAGCTTCCGCTATGTGCCGGGTTCGGGGAAGTGCCGGACCACAAGGGTCTATTCAACTACATTTTACAAATTTTTCGGTCATTTCACAATGTAGCACCTTAATCCATTCATCCCCTTGTTAAATGACAATAGTGAATCTTGAGTATGATATTGGAAGCTAATCTTCAGGATCCAGAAACTTGTCTCTGATTCTTGAGGTTAAAAGTTATGACCATTTTCCGAATAACTCAACACCATCTTCATAATTCTTGCCAATTGATATAAGCTTCACTAAATTTTCTTGCTATGATTGTACATAGGGAATTAAGACATATTCCCTGAAAGCAATTTTCTCACAACAAGTCAATCTGTTATATCAGCGCCATATCGATCATTTGGAACTCACTCACAGGTCCTGCCTCGAGTGAATCGATTGTTCATTTTACCTTCCAATTTCTTCAAGTTTGCTAACGACCTGCTTTATAGTAGGCCTAAGAGCAGGTGAAGGAGAACAACAAGCCATTGCAAGCTGAAGGAATTCATAAATATGATCTTCACTAACCGCCCTTTGCCCTTCATTTTGGCTAAGTAGAATCTTCGGATGATAAAAGTCGATAACCCTATGATCAAGAATTGCACTTTGAACAGCATTAGGCAAATAAATATCCTTATCAAGATTTGGTTTCCTGTAGAATGGTTCTTTTCCTGTTAGTAACTCTAACAAGATAATCCCAAGGCTATAAATATCAGTTTCTTCGCTAACTTCTTTCATCTTGATCAATTCAGGGGCTTTGTATCCTTGAGCTGCTGAAGCTTCAAGCATTTCTTGGCCTGCAGTTGGATTCAGGACGAGATGCAAGCCAAAATCGGACACATATGGTCTGAAGTGACGATCCAAAAGTATGTTACTCGACTTGAGGTTTCCATGGATTATGGGAATTTCTAAATCTGTGTGAAGATAGTCCAGTCCTCGAGCAATGCCAATGGAGATCCTACATATGATGTGCCATCTATGAGCCTCACCATTCCCATCTGTTACAAGTAGATGCATAATTTTCTGCTCAGTAAAACAGATGCATATTCGACAAAATAATCAATTGAAACCTAAAACATTTTGTGTACTTGAGAGTGGTTGAAGTTCATAGGCAAAAAAAGGGCAGCTCGGTGCATAAGACATCCCGCGTTCACGCAGGGTCCGGGGAAGGGCCGCACCCTAAGGGATATGACGTAAAGAGCCTAACCTAAAACAAACATTAGTGAGTGCTTCCACTATTCGAACCCGTGACCTATAGATCACATGAAGACAACAATACCGTTGTTCCAAGGCTCCCGATCTCTTAACACGACAGGAAATGAATGAAATTATAATTTTGACAAAGTGCCTACTATTAGGTTCTTAGGGAAAATGACAAGAAAACTGAGATATTAATTAAACAAGATATGTTGAAAGTATTAGACTGCACGTGTGTAGCTTTTAAATATGCAGAAGAAAACAAATTCCACCTAAAATCCAGAAAGTACTACCACTAAGCTAATTTTTCCAACACACAAAACCTGTCCAAAGGACACAACTATAGAGAAAGATTAAATCACCGCCAAAATACTTAAATAAAAAAAAATGAAAAAGTGAGGAGTAAAAGAAAAAGAAAAGGTCAAAGTTCCATTTCATTGTTAAATTAAAGAGCTATGCTCTCCAGATTCAGAAATAGTATCTTTTTTGAGAAGTCACAAAAATAGCAAGTATATTTACCATCAAAATTGAAGGGGGAGAAAGGAAACAATTAAAGAACCTCAAACTTTAAACCGCATATAGGGATCTAATAATGGAAACGCCATAAAAACAGAAAATATAGTTTAATACTCATTCCAGTTGTGAGAAAATGATTGACAGAGACCCTTTGCAAGGCACCAAATAGCAATTATTGGTAAAAAAAAAATTGTACTCCTTTGAAACCCAAGAAGAAAAAACAGAAATTAAAACGTTTATCAACCTGTGAAAATCAAGCATCTCCTGCCAGATGTTACAATCCTTAAAATGATGTATTTTCCTTTCTTTATTCTATTTCCAAGACCCAAAAAAAAACATATTCTTGAAATTTTGTTGAACACACCACATCAGAGGCAGCTTAATAGTTTTACTCTCGAAAATTCTTAGCATGATGAATTCATTATACTTATAAGGTTATAAACGCAAAATTTAATGTTTACTACTCCTTGCACACAGGCTAAAAGAAAGAAAAAGCTTTGTGGGGTGTGACTAAAAGAATTTATTAAAGAAAATTTTAAAATTAAATTATTTTCAAATATAACATCAAAAAGGTGTCACAAATACATTAATATTAATGTTTGACGTGTCGAAAATAGGGATTCAGTTGAAGCAAGATCATGAGACGAAAGCCAAATACTAAATTTTACCTCTAATCAATTGGGCTAAGGTGCCATGCCGATAAAAAGGATGAACCATCAATTTCTCTCCTCTTGGCCCTGCGTAAAATGCACACAATGGCACCAAATTAGGATGCCTTAATGACCCCAAAAGTTCCATTACAGGCACAACTTCTTTCATTGTCACAGTGCAAGCTGGTCTCAAGAATCTCAATAATGTAAGCCTATCAATACTCAGCAAAGTAGCTCTGTACAAAGTTCCATAACTTGATTTCCCAATAACTTCACCTGGAGCATCCAATATATCATACACAGTTAGATCTTCACCATCTTTAAACTTTATCAACAAATCTTTTTCAACCCCATCTCTTTCTTTAACCTCTAAGCTAGCTTCTATATCTCTAGAAACAGTTTCTCCTCCTTTTCTTCTACAACAATAGATCATGACCAACAGAATAATTATAGCAGTTACTGAACTTGGTACTATAATAAGTATGAGCATATGCTTGTGTTCCATTCTTTAATGACAAATTCTGTCACTTGGGTGTACTAAAATGGTGTAAAGATTGAATCTTTATGACATTTTAAAGGAAAAAAGGAAGATCCAAGATGTGGTAGAATGTTAAAAATGTGAAATCTTGAAAGTGTAAATGAAGGCCAAAAGTGGAATGTTATTATCATATGGGTATATTTTCATGGAAATGGAACAAGAGAAATGTAAAGTGAAATGGGGTTGCGGAGATTGTGGGGAAACTCATGGATTTTTCGGAAACAGTTGGAAAACAAAATCTAGAAAGAGTAATAATGGAAGGTGACTTTGGCGCTGCCGCAGACAGAGGAAAAGAGAGAGAGAGAGAGAGAGAAAAGGAAGAAGAAGTCAGAGAGAGGGAGTTGGCAAGAGAAAGAGTGAACAGATGGAACCATGTGCCTGTTTTATGGAATTGATTTCTTGATCTGATGTTTATGCTGTATCTTTTTACTTATTAATTGTCCCCCGTATTAATGTCAGACCTAATAGTAGTAGTACTATTTATGAAGAAGTAAAGAACTTTGATAAAATACTACACTTAGGGGTCTTTTGGTAGGGTATATTGATAATTCTCGGATTAATAATGACGTTTGAGATTATTTTTTATCGTTTGTTTGATTTGGTATATTAAAAATAATATGCATTGTATTATTTTTTAAAAAAAAATTATTTATTTACAAAAATGTCATCCACATTTGTTGGAAAAGGTTTTGAAATGACAACTCTATCTTCGTACATGCTTATTCATGTATTAAAAATCATGGTATTGCTAATGTCATGGTTTGCTATGTATAAGAATAATATTGAATAGAGTGTATAGCTAATATTGTACTAGTTATACATAGGTTAAAAAGCACTGCCAAACAAAGAATTAATAATATAAAGCTAATAGCCTAATACATGTATATTTTACCTAATATATCCTACCAAACTACCCATTAATCTATGTCATTTTCATACTTCTTACTCAACCTCTCTTTGAGAAGGGAAAAGGATATAGAAGGGATAATATTTTAAACGTTATTCTCTTGAAAGTCCGAGAGCACTTGTTGGTGGTGGCATAAAGGCCCACAAATTGGAATCACACTCCTACAAACGAAAGAGGACTCCACGAAGTATCCTTTGCCTCTTTAGACCATTTTCTTGAGAATGACAAATCCCAACCTATAAGATACGATCACTACTCAATAATTTTCCTTTTTTAGGTTTAATCATCTGCTATCTTGAACTCATCAATTTGAGCTTAGTGTTCATTTTAAAGGGAAACGTTGCCTACTAGAATTTTCTTTTTAATTTTAGAATTGAAATTAAAATCTTTATTTAAGAAATCGATGATACTATACAATAACTAAAGGAAAAGAAACAAACGCATACAGACGAAAAAGAAGACGATGACGTGCAGGAGGAAGAAGCTGTAGCAAAGAAAAAAGTGATACAAATCATAGAAGTATAATGGAAAATAAAGGGGAGTAGAAAATGGTCCAATCTATATGGATCCAGGAAGAACGTAGTGACATTACTGTTTGTCTCTTGTGTCCAAGCCCTTGGAAAGTGGGGAAAAAACGTCAGTATAAAAATGCCATTACAACGAGACAAAGAAACAAGGTGGCATGCTTTCCTATTGCTTTATTTCACTTTTGTACTTCGTATTGATCTTTGAATTTTGACCAATGTTTTTAGTGCTACAACAATTTCTATGCATTTTTCCCTTCTTTTTTATTTCGTGAAATAAAACCATGATTAATCATGAATCACTCCCTCCGATTCATTATAAGTGACTTTGTTGTTATTTTATTTGGTCCAAAATAAGTGTTTTTTTACATAATCAAAAAGAGATTAATTTTATTTTTTTAAAATTTGCCCTTATTTACATATCTCAATGTGTTAAAGTTAAAAATATGCAAATGTAATGAAGTCAAACTACCTTTTTTTTTCCACTAGAAGTGTATTTTCTTAAGGAGTGTGCCAAAGACCAAAAAATCACTTATTATGGACTGGGACGAGTAATAATCTTTATGCGGGTTGCTAATCTACCACAACCTTTCCCCTTCATTCGGGTTGGGCCCGACAATATGAGTTAGCTCATATGGGCGGAGTTTAAAAAAAGAGGAATTTTTATAAACCACTATAGTTTAGAGCTTAATAACTAAAATTTCCGTGATTACCATTCACAGCTACTGTTCAATTGTTACTAACTTGTATCACTTGTATTCAAACGCGCAACAAATACAACATGTGCCAACGGTATTCATTCGCGTAACGATACAACTTGTATCAATTGTATTCGTTCGCGTAATTGTGTTCATTCGTGCAACAAATATAAGATGTATCAACTGTAACCAAGGCGAAATTCAAGGGTGTATGCAAATGATACAACTTGTATCAACTGCATACAGGAATATATATATAAAGGATACAACCTGTATCGATTGTATTTGTTCGCACAACGAATACAACTAAAGCGAAATACAGAAATACAAAAAAATAAAATATTCTTGTTGCGATTCAAACTTTATACTGTATGAGAGCTTGTTGCTCTCTTGTTTCAGTTTAAAATAATTAATCTCTTATTTTATGAATTTGCTATAAAATTCAAATATAGCTATGAATGGTAAATTTGCTGAAAGCTTAACTACGAATGATAAATACAATATAAATGTTTGATGTGTCACATAATTTTCCCTTTATAAAATCATGACCAAGACTCATTTTTTTATGCTCAAAGACGAATTCAGATTTATTTAAGTAATGATTCAATATTTAAAGTTTTTATAAATTTTGGATTGATGTAACGGTATTTGACTCGGCATGGAGTTTAAGGGAAAAAAATATTTGATATCTGTGGTCTAAAATAAATAATAGATATTTGTATGGCTATAAATCATTTCATTAAGAGTAAACTAGAAATTCTAAAGGTAAACTATTTCTAAATTAGAAAAATTAGCATTCTTTTGTGAATTATGACTAAAAAAGGTGTGTCGCATAAATTGAGACCGAGAAACTATTTGTTAAAATTAAAATTTTGGTGAATCTTCACATATACATGTGGTTCATACCGAAAATGTTAATCGAAATTGATAAATGTCATGGGGTACCTAATACCTCTCTCCGACACTACAAAATTAACTCTGACCATCAAATTTGACCCTTATTTCTCAATTTAAGACCTTATCGACCCTTTCTCAAGTTTCTTTATTGAAAAAATGCATTTTCGTTTTCAATATGAGAATGATACATTGGACTTATTAATTAGGTGGTAATTTTTTCTTTCAAAATTAGGTGATAGTTCACTGTCTTAATTATTAGTCGTGATCATAAATTACTGCGCCCACTTTCATATTTGTTCTTCTTCACTTTTTTTTTCTTCTTTTTTTGGGTTACATTGGTATAATTCTCTTTTCCTAGCATAATCAAGAGGATTGGCCCCATCCAACGACATGAAGATGATTGCAAGCCTAAAAAAATTGTACTACATATATTGTGGCCCATAATTTCATCCCTATGTATTTTAAATTTTCAAATTTTCAATCTTAATTGAATTAAAGACTTGCAAAATTAATTTTCAAGATAGCCAAAATAAATAAAGAACAGCTCATGGATTGCAACAACTACTTCATCGAATACTATTATGTACCTTAATAATGTACAACTGCTTTTTGGTCACTAATCAATTTGGTTGGAATTGATCTTTAAAATAATATCTCGTTGTAGGAAAGGTGCACTTACTCTCTTCCCGTATATATTAATTTCGTTACTTCAATTTATGCTTTCTTTTTCATAAGCCAAACATTAATTTTCTGGTTTCTCTTCTTATAATTAATAAGAATGCTATATTATTATGTAATTGATTTATTGTGGTCTCAATGTAGCTTTCACATTGTACATTTAGTTTTAAACTATATATGAAAGCATTCGAGATTTAACACATTAGACAAAACACAATCATCTAGTTTAAAAGAAAGGGGTTATATTTTAGTTCTTAAAAGTCTACAAGATACAAGATATAAGTTCTTGATTTGGTGGGTTTTCTTTCTTCTTATTTTCCTTTTTGAAGTTGCAACTTCTTTTGATAACTCTTTTTGTCCTGCCAAATTTGGAACCATACTGTTGAGAAACTTCCAAAGTAGGTGAGGGCAAGAAAGGAATTATGAATGTGATGAAAGTAATTAATAGGTGACATTATTTTTATTATGGATGAGTTTGTTAGGAAATATAAATATCAAACTCGCTATAAATGGGATGCATAATAAGCTACTTGCATGACATCTCTTCTAACACTATGTTATATATATATATAACCTTTTTATAACAACACAATAAAACTTTAAAGCATGTTATAATCATTTCGATAAATGATCTCTAATCAATTACATCGGTACCAAATAATTGACTAAAGTTCTCCATATTGTTCCATGAATAAAATCAATATTGCAATTTCCAACCCGACTTCCTCTAGAAAACCACAAGAAAGAGAAGGAAAAAAGGGATATTGAGCTATGGTTAGATGTGAAGCAGGAAGCAAATGCTGTTGACCTAAGATATTTGCTCATACTGCAAGCATTTATTGTGAGATATTTGTTGAACACTTAGATGTTCGTTCGATTAATGGTTAATTAATGAGATAGAAAATTTTAAAACAATACTCCCTCCGGTCCACTTTAATTAACTTTTTGGCTATTCTTCACACGTATTAAGGAATTCACATTTTAGTATTAATTAATAATAAAATTGATCATATTAATCTTACTTTGCTCATTGGAACTATTGTCACACCACTTTTTTTCCGTAGGGGATAGGGAATTTTTCCAATTAAAGTGACATTAATCGAAATGAGATTATTTATATTCAAATTCAGAGTCGCCACTTGGAATAATTTATGGTGTTCCAAGTCACTGGTTTATTTTAAATCCCAAATCGAGGAAGTTGACTCTATTTTTGGTCAGCGAACACAGAAGACCGGGTAAGGAATTTTGTTAACCTGGGAGAAGGTATTAGACATTCCCGGGTTCCGTGGTTTTAGCACGGTCGATCAACTATTAATAATTAGCCTAATTATCTTATTTATTATATGTTTTAAACTATTGTGCATTTTTAACTTCTAACCGCTTTTAATTATTTAAACAATTATGGAATTTGTTGAACAAGCCACGATGTCGTACACTTGTTTGTTTTTGCACACATTGTGAGTCGCATCACGAGAACCGTGCCTACGATTTACAACATGTTTATTTTATTATTATTTGAAGTTGTGGTCGGGTCACATGAAATGTACACCCGAATTGGAATTTATATATCGTGACTATGCCACGAAAACCGTACCCATAGTCACGATGATTCATTTACGCGCCTAAAAGTTTGCCTACCCACGTGTGGTCGGCCCAAGCATATTCCTAGCGATCAAAGCGAACCAAATAACACAATTAACATGATAAATTCAATTTTTT